TAAGCTTAAATCTACTAGCTAAGGGCCTAAGAAGGTTCTAGCTTTGATGGGTTTTATTCATGAAACTCTCTAAGCTTATAAGGAGCTCCCATGAAGTTGGAGGCGGGGTACTAGGTAGGATCTGGATTATGTCCGATCTAGCTCACTTAATACTTTAACTTAGCACGATATAACTTACTAGCAAGGATCTAATCTACTTCCCACTCTTCTACACCTTAGATAGGCTCACTAGGAGGCTTAGGAGCTTCTTGTCCTGGGAGGGGGTCTTAGGGGTCCTTATATAGCAGGTCCGAAGCGAACATGTTGTGGATACGGGAGCCTACTAGTAGTTAAAGTTAATACGAGTGGCCAACTTTCTCTAGGACCTTAAAGAGACCCTTCTACTTAGCGGCCAGCTTACGACTCGGATAGTTAATTGCTAGGTTCTTAGTATCTAAGAATACTATATTACTAATGTCCTAATCGACAGGGCGACGATAGCGGTTAACGGCGGATCGCATCTGGTTCTAGGCCTTCTCTATCTACTGCTTAGCGGTATCCTATGCGGCGTGCATGCGGGTGGCAAGCGCTAGAGTATCCTTATAATTAAGTTTGTTAGTAGGGGTAAAGATACTAGTTAGATACTACTAGTCCTAGCTTTGCTTAGGTACGGATCCGTAAAGGATCTAATACGGAGACATGCTAATAGAAGAGTAAGGTAGAGAAATTTAGGCACGATCAATTAGAGGTAGTAGCCTACTCTAGTTATTCTAGTAGTAGGTTATGAACGGACGTAGTCTCTAATTAATGTACTTATTTATAATCTCTGTCTAACTATTAGTTTTCTTATAATAGGCGGTAGATAGCTTAACCTTAATATCTAGGATCTAATAGAACTTAGACTAGAAACTAGACACGAACTATAGTCCTTAATTAGAGATAATTATCTCTAGGGTGTGTCCGAATTAGTACACTTACTAGATAAAGAGTTTAGCTATACCTCTTGCGTTAATTGTCTTATAACACGGGATAGAGATGGCCTATTTGGACAACTAGTTGATTACGACTATAATCTAATCGTATCTAGCCTTATTCTTAGAGAATTTCTTAAAGTTAATGCAGAGGTGTTGTATTAGCTAGTTAGGAATTAGAAGGGGGTAAATTAGCTCTAGAACTTAGGTCTGTCTTAAATGGGCTTTGCGGCAGGCTAGGCAGTTCCGCACGTACCTCTTATAGGTAGCTTCTATGCCTTTCTAATAGTATTTCTAAGATAGTAGCTAATAAGTCTTCTTTGCACTTAGGTGGGCTGATAAGACCTGATCGTAGGCCTCTTAGATTAGTTGCGTGTACGCGGGGGAGTCTAGCTATATATAGAGACGGTTTGAGTAGAGTAATAGTCCGTTTTCTATCTAGTACTTATTAGAGAGAGTACGGCGCTCTTTCTCGAACGATGTGCGGTTTTGCTATAATAGAAGCTTAATTAGCTTAAGAGAGTCTAGGGATATAGTCTTCTGAGTGGGCTTAACTACTAGCAGCGAGGTGGCCTGCTTGGATAGTTGTTCTATATATGCTTTGGCGAGTTCGGAGTTAATTTAGTTATTAAGTTAGTATAGTTCTAGGAGGACCCGCGAAT